GCTTTCTGATTCTTCAATGTCAGTAAGTTTGCGACTGTTTATGACAGCATGAACTCTTGCTATCAGGATTTCCACCCTTCACCACAAAGAAGCGAACAGCAGAGCTGACCTCAACACGCTGCACTGGAGCCTGCAAGCTGCTCCCTGCCTGCCAAAAAAATATTGCACGAGCAAAACAAGCTCTGCTCTTGACCGTCGATATTTGCGTGACCCACTGAATGTTCATGGATTCAAAAGCACTGGATTGCGCCAAAAAATGGTGATCGCCCTCCCTCTGTTTCTGTAGAACCATTGATTTCTTGCATTGATTCCTTGTACATCATTGAATTTGAAGCATAAACTATATAGATTGTGAAAATTTGTAAAAAATCAAAAGTTCAGCAAGTTCTGAAAAGGCCTGAAGTCAGAAGACGCACTGCAATCTCTGCCCCCCATTCCCAGCCATTCCAGCCATGTGGCGCTGCCTCTGCCATTCCCAAGTCTGACGGTGAGAATCCAGCAGCCTCTGCTGCCAGTGGTGCACCAAGACTAAGACCTCACAAGGATGAGTGGATCAACAATTCATCAGAACTATGCCTTGCATATGCCGGACGTTGTCATATGATTGCCTGATGATGAGTGCAGTAGATATGTTTTGTTTCAGTTTCTTTCTTTCACTTCCTTCAGATAGTTTTCTGACTCAGGCGAAAGTCAAAGAAACAAAATCATAGTATGCAGAGGGATTGCAAGGTTCACTGGATCCTGGAGACTTGGCCGCGCCCCATCTATCTACTCATCCGTTTCATTGTTGTGCATGTGTGTGGCTGAGTAGCACTCTCTTGAACATTTTAGACATTGCCACAAGCAAATACAGTTAATAGGATGAGAATGGGCATGCTTCCAGCGACATCACAAAGACTGGTCAAGAGTGCATGGAATAGTCGCTGCTCGTGAGAAGTGTGTTTGTTTGTGCGTGTCGTTTGGTTTTTCTGTCTGTTGGTAGAATAAGCTGAACACATGACAATGCCAACTAAGATGTGAGTGATATTAGAAAGAGACCGACATGGGAAGTGTGCAGATAGTCATGCCTGGCAGTAGCAACAACTGTCTTCTTAGAGGATGCGAAGGTGCTACCCATGCCTAGGCAGGTGGCCGCGGAAACGGAGATTAGGAATTACAGTAAGTTGTTCCACAAGAGTGAATCACATACCAGTTGTTCGATATGTGCTGTAACCACCCTTGGCAAAGAATGTTGCAAGCTTTCGTACAGGGAACTCTTTCTTTGCATGTTATAGCTACATTTCGCCGTGTTTCTGGAGATAATGACGGTATCAATGACAGCCCCAAATGTTGCCAAGCCACCCGCCAGGGTGCCAGCTGCGCTAGCGATACCAGAGCCAGCGCTGGCAGCACAGCTGCCCGTCTTGCGTGTCTTGCGCACGCCATGGCAACGCTCAAACGCTCGAGCCGCACAAGCCATCCACGATTACCACATGACTACGTGGGACGTTGGAGTCCCAAAAGCAACTCCAAAGTCCACCCTAAGCAGTTCCGGATCCATTGCCGAAAATTCCAAAAACAAATGGATATACCAGATAGGGATAGGACAATAATATGTTGCCGCCTTACACTCTGCTTTTGTGCTTTGTGCTTTTGCCGCCCTGCTGTGTTCAGCACACCTCACGCCAGGTTGGCTACAGCCACTCCCATTGGGGCTCCCTGCGAATCAAATCATAGCAGGTGTACAGGCATGCTGCAAAGCACTCCTGGCCGTAACAAGCAGGTGGCCACTTTTTTGATATGTGGGTGTGTCTGAAAATCGGGGATTGAACCCCAATGTTTGTGGCAACTTTAATGTGGAAGAGGATGACAGACTTGATAGATCCTCAAAATTCAGGCACTCGATTTTCAGACAAACCCACATTCAAATCCTTGGGAGCTACTGATAAAAACGATACAAAGGGTGGAACAGGATCCCTCTGAAGGATCAACTTCAACCCTTCTGTCCCGTGATTTTCAGATGTTGCCTCGATGGACACAAAGATTTTGAGAAAACGAAAGAAAGAAATATGAAAACCTCTTTTTGCTCAGATCAGGTCTAAGCGTTTCTTTTGATGTCCCCTATCTTTCAATAACTCAAAAATACAGCAAAGTCTGCCTCAGGCGCAATATGATCGGCATCCACGCTTGCCTTCATGTCTTTCTCCACAAAGTACTTCAACAAGCCTTCAGCCTTGGCTCGTCCAAACTACTGGGTTCGCCCTCAGTTGGTCAGCTGGCCTGAGTTGCTGGAATCCTTTGGAATTGCCGTAGTTTTTCCTCAGTTTCCAGACCAAGTCTTGGTTTCCACTGGCCATAGCACTGTCCATGCAGTCCTGCACAGCTCAAGGACGAAGGTCACATACTCATCAGGCGACCGTGTGTACATGACCATATTCTATAGCAAGATCTATCTTATGTGCGAAGCACAATGGAATAATGTGTTTCCTCCGAATCAACTCTTTCACTTTGTGCGCTCCTTGTACATCTTGTCTTGCTGAGCAAGTTCAATGGCTTGCTTGTAGCGCTTGTTCTTCTGATAGACCTACGACTATCTGACTCTCACGGCAAATCAAGTGATCTGCCATGATCTGCCAGACTGTGCGAATTCGACCTGCATGTGACTGTATGAGCATTTGTGGAGATTAGCGGGTGATCCACAGCAGGAGCAGAACCCTGATTCTTGGTGGAGAACTATCTACCCATATCTACCCATATCTGCCCTATTAGGAAACAATACCAGGATAAATTGAACGGTGCATTCTTGCCGCGGGAATAAGGCCAAGGCCAGGGTGGCAATACGACGCATCTCGATAAGTTCATGCTTCTCCAATTTTTGGGCCTCACAAAGCGGCATCAAACGTCAACTCATTGGCATAAAAAAATGATACTATGGGAAAAAATGCCGATGTCTAGAGTCTAGATGCTTAGTGCATCCTTCATGATCTTCATTTGTTGCAGTTAAAGGGCGATGTACACATAGTGAGAGAGAGAGAGAGTTTGGGATTCTGGATCACCGCAATCTTGTTTCACACTTCAACTCTGGTATGTCATTTATCGGTTACGTATCTTACGTATATGTTTGAGCCTCCGGGTTGAAAACCGAATGTGGGTTTTGTTTTTTGATGTTTTTTTGTACGTTTGGGGTGGGGTGGGCTGGGCTGGGGTGGGGCGGGTAAAAATGTTTTGCGCCGACGTCTTCATTGGCTTGATACTACGCTGCAACAATGCTCACCTGCTTGATGCTACGCTGCAACATGCTCACCTACTTGATGCTACGTTGATGATGGGGTGGGGTGGGGTGGGGTGGGGTGGGGTCGGGTCTTGCACTTGCGCACATACGTCACGCGACTCTACTGTACAACTGTATGTTCTCTTTCACTTGCACACATACGTCATGCTACAATACACTTTGCATGCTCTCATCGAACAAATCAATTTGTCAAGAAAATCAGGAGGCATGCTGGTTGCACGTTCTGGGTTCACACCTGCACCATCGATGCCTGCTGAGTAATGTAGAAAGCTGATTTGCCTTCTCGATTGCCAACTTGCAAAAAAAAACAACCCAGATTGAATAGCGGCTTTGGAAATATGTTCGCACATGGCAGTGGCGATGGGAAGCACATGTTGTTGGATCTGTTTTAAAAAAACGGGACTCTAATTAGCCAAGATTTGAAAGTCACCGGCAAAACGCGCTGGCGCTGTGGTTTCGGACACGAAGGCTTCCCAAAAGAATCGCTTTTTATAATGCAAACACCCTAGAAGTTACCCACATTACCGCAAACCATGGAAAACACATGATTGGCATGATCCCAATTGTTCGAAAAATCCTGATTTTAGGTTTTTTGTTTTTTTTTTGTGTGTTTTGTCTTTTTGGATTTTGGTTTTGTTTAGCCATTGCAGAAAAACCAAGCCGAAATTGTCAATGGTTGCAAAGCAGTGAGAGAACCATCGCACATGTGCAGTGTCAGTGGTTGCAGAATGCAGTGAAAAACCGCACTCCCAGGGTGTCCCCTTCTGTTATTTTACACCTGCAATTTCCAACCCGGCGGGATGTTTGACGTCCAGCGAATGATCCTCGGCCATGCCTTTTTTGGGGCCCTTGGGGCCCAAGCCAAAGCAATCTGATCGAAGTTGTCGAACTCCTGGACCCCGGGAAAGTGTAGTTAGGCAAAAGGGTTATTCGATTATGAGATGATATGCGGTGATACGCAAATATATGCGATGATGTGTTTCAAGGCCAAAATAATGAGTGAGACGTGCACTCTTCTCAGGATCTACTTCTATCCGGAAAACCATTGCAATCTTCATGATACTGTGCTACAACCACTTGTTGCCCCGAGTCAACGCGGGAGCAGAAAAAGAAACATTGCAAACGCATCACTTCAATTGGACCAAAGCGCCACACTAATCCTCTACGCATCTCCCTGCAGCAACAGCTGAACGTCGATACTGCCTCGTTTTGATATGAGAGTCGAAATCCCAAATGCCCGGAATGCGGGCGAGGACCCTGCGTTGACAGGGACGTCTTGGCAGCGGCATAGTCGCATGCCGCAAATGTCGAGCCCAGGCCATGCAAAGCCTAAGCCCTACTAAGGACCGCTGCCTCAAGATCTTTGGTCTTGGGGTATCGGGCTTCAAAATCCAAGCGCCTGCAGTTGTTGCAAGGCAGCTTCTGTAAAACAAAAAACGCTGCAATGGCTCCGGGGACTTGAGAAAGCGAATCTTTTCAAGAAAGATGAAGAAAGCATAGTGGGTCTGAAGGATCTTCCATGATCTTCCCTTTGCTCCGCAGCCCAAAATAATATTTACATGGCTCTGCACCTTTAAGGCGACAGAGAGAAATCAGTAGCTGATGTGGACCTCTGAGTACAAACAGTACCATAGCTCCCACAAAGACTCATTAACGCCGCGATGCCACTGTGAGAGCCGGAAAGACAGAATCGGTCACTGAGCAATCTTTAGAACTACAAAAATGAGTTCACAGTGGTAGCGGAAGTGCACTTGCATGTCCTCTGGATCTAGACAAGAGCACCCAGAGTCGAGTTGTCAGGCCAGTATGCCTTCTGAGAATGTACAAGTGCCATCATTTTACCCCTTGAACACAGTGTAGCTCAGTATAATATTGAGGTTTCTTGCTGCTAATCACTATGTTCCACTTAACCCTGCTCGGACGGCTGTGTGCAGTGCAAGGCTTGCAGCTATAGTGGTCCTGTTTGAGCACGCCTTGCCTCCCCAGTGCAAGGTCGGCATTGAAGCAGTGTCTGAAATGAGGGCTTGAACCGCAAGGTAGGGCAATTTTTATAGAGAAAATGCTGATGCACCATCGAATTCGGGGTACCCTAGTTATGAAATATAATATATATATATATATTTATATTTTATATATACATATAATTAGAATTAATTAGATCCAATTTATGGGCAAGATTTGTGCGCAACCCTGCAGTGAGGCGAATTCAACCGGTGAGGCGCCATTGCAGTGAGGTGTATCCATATTTTTTCGAGCATGCGCTTCTGGGTGAAGGAAGGTTCGTGGATAACGATTCAGTTTTCAGACCTCGCCTGAAGGCTTGCGTTCTTCAGCTCGTCTTCTGCCACCTGCGAGTTGCGGAGAATGGCTTGAAGCTTGTAGCAGACCAAGAGAAGACCGGAGAAGCACAGACAGTTTGCTTTTCCTGGGCCACTGCCGCCGTCACTTTCTGCTTCCAAGTCACTGGCTTCCAAATTAGCAATGACCGTCGCAAAGGGTACTTGGTCAGTGGTGGATGCCTTCGTTTCCTGGTTGCCCCCTCAAGTTGACCGGCAGATTGAGCACGTCTCAAGCAGGCCTCACTCACAACTGCCATTGAATCTCTGCCTGTTGTCCCAAAATGCGCGTCCTCTTATGAAAGCCATGCTAAAAAAACATTTCTCGAAAATCCATGTCATTCTCTAGCGAGCAAAATTCTGCTCAAGTCATCTACTAGATTCTAGATTTACATAAATCACAACTTATCTTTCAAATTTCTGCCGACATGAGGAATCTTCATAGACATCGAGCCTTGCAAACTCCATTTTTGTTATCCAACCAGCTGAGAAATGCTGCAAGTTGCGCCTCGCTCTCGGGCACAGCGACTGCCGGTGCGCGCACCAGAAATGCCAGGTTCGGCTCCATCTGCGAGGAAAGGGCAGGGATGCAATCGATTTCAGGCCTTCGGGATTGAATTTGTTGAAATCTATGTGTAGAGGAAAAAATCTGTAGAAATGTACCAAAGAATACCAAACAGCTATCAGAGAAACAGCTAGGATCAGGTAGGGTCACAAGAATTGCAGGGCAACTCATCTCATCGCTGGTTCCGAGGCTCTGGCCGGCGCCGCATCCACTTTCAGTGACAGAGCAGTCAGAGGCGGCAGTGGAGGCCGCGTCCGTCGCAGGGGGGTGGGCCTGTGGCAATGACAGGTTGCAACACCTTTGGCAAAACAAACTGGTTGCACTATTTTGATCTATTTTGCACGTCCACAGATTCTATGCCCCATTTTCCTGAGCAAAGTTTGAGGTTTTGTTTGCTGTTTTATGCTGTTTTAACATCTTTTAGCCATGTCTTGTTCTGCCAAGCTACACTTGCCACAGCGCAGGCGGTGCAGGGGAGCTGCTGGCGACTGATGCCTGGATCCAGGCAGCGTAGTCCTTCACCTGCGGCGCCAGGTCAGCATTTGTCGAAATCATTCGAGTCATCCATTGAGATGATTTTACATCAATGTGGCCACGTTGATCAATGTCCAAGAAGATCTGTTGATATCTGTTGTGCGAGTCTCTACTGTGAGAAACAGATCTACAATCCGCAAGGGTCGCATTCTGAATCCAAGTCCCCGTCCTCGTCGGGCAAATCCACTCGCTCTCTCAGCGCAGTGAGAAAGCTCCGGCCTCGCTTTGTTTCACAAGATCGGAACCTTGGAGATAGTGCCCTGACCAACCCCTACCGTCGGAAGACAGTGATTCAACAGTGGTTATATATATATATATACCTCCAGTCATCAGTTACACGCTTTTTTCCTTTTCCAAACCCCAGCGACGTTCGATTCTTGTCCCAGAAAAAAGAAATGTATATCAATTTATCATGTAGACTGTATAATAATTGATTTTTCCAGTAAACCTCCATTTCCTTCGTGGATGTTTCCATATTTTCCTACATGCCCTTCGTGGATTTCCATCCATTTTCCCATACCTTCGCATGGAATCTCCCAGCTTTTTGCACCTTCAGAGCTGAGAGCCATATCCCCATAGAAGTGCTGCACGAAGTGTGCCAACAACCAATACTGCGCATGAAGCCTGGGGCAGCAGACGCGGAGAGGCGGACAGGGACCTGGCAATGGCACTTGACTGGTGGAAAGAGCTGGGAAAAGATGGGAAAATTGGTGTGAAAAGATGTGAAATATGGTTCCTACCGTTTCTTACTGTTTCTTACTGTTTCTTACTGTTTCTTACAAGTACAGAGGACTAGAACTGTGCGTGGCGCGCGTGTGAAGGTCATGTCCTGAGAATGAACATATGCCCAGATATCCTCCACCTTCACTTGAAGATGTTTCAGACTTCCTGTGACTTCCTCTTATGCTGACACTACTGCAGGTGAGGCACTTGTGCTGGGCTACCTCGGCAGGATTTTCCCAACTGCTTTCACCGGTGAAGGCGTTGTAGAAGTACTGGGAATCACCTACAAAGCACTGAAGGATCGCATTGAAAGCTAGACCGGAGAAAAAAAAGATGAAAAAAGGTACACCATGGTAAAATGATAAACCCTTCTTGATTTTCGCTGACCCGGCCTTGCTCTTGCTGTGACCAACCTGTGCAGAAACCGACCAATCAGATCAAACAGTGAGAAATGAAGGGAGAGTACGGGGCAGTTTGCCAACGAAGCCAGCTCTGCCAACCTTCAAGCGCTCTTACAGCTTCTTCATCTGCGCATCTCCTTGGCTCGTCTATCGTTCTGAATTGTCTTGTCACTTGGCATCTTTGGATCAAGATGGATTGATTATGGATTAAAGGAGATAGATCTACTGCATGTTGCTAGGTGCTGTATATGCTCGAATTTGCCTCCAGTTTAACATTCTCCGCCTTCAATGAAGCTCCTCGCTTTGCCAAATTTGCTGTTTCACACATAAATCACATAAACTGCCCTGAGCCTCAACGGCCGCCGCCCCTTCACCTGCAGCTGCGCCTCAAATGGGCCGACAGGGCTGATGCCAAATCACTAGCTGATAGGCAGTCGCGGATGATCTGCATCACAGTGTCCAACACCTGGAGGAAAACCTGATTTGATCGGCAGGTCAGCTGGATCTAGCTGGATTGGATCTCTCTCTCTCTCTCTCTCTCCACAGCTTCACAGCTTCATCCTTGACAGCTAGCATTTTTTGGAAGGACCTTTAGCCAAACTTTAGCCACTCAGTGCCAGTCATGCTGCCTCAGCATTTTTGGGCTCACAGAACCAGGTAGCACCAGCATTCCTTGAAATAGGTACGAGTACATTGGATTGTGTTGGTTTGTGTTGACCTGTCATCATTCCATGCACAGAAAAGAAACCTCAAAGGTCCTGCAAGGACACACCGCTTCCACCGGAATCCAAGTGAATCAAGATGAATCAAGTGACATCCATCAACGGATGCTCCCAACTGGACTTGCCGGAAGGATTCCAAAAGTAGACCGCTCTGCTGGGACTAATCTCCTGATGGATGCAAGTGGCGAGCTGATCATGGAGTTCAGTCGCTTGTGCTGCCAGAAGCTTGGTGATTCCAAAATCATCATGGATTGCACTGTGGCTGTGGACTTTCTTAGTTTGAGCCCAGAATGTGTTGACTCAGAATGTCTCATAGCAAATGCACTGAAGTGTCACTGGCACATTCATACACTAGGCTTTGCGACAACGTCAAGGGTTCACCCATATTTTTAGAATCTCTCGTGACGTTTGCGCAGCTGAGATTTTTGAATGACTGACCCGCCTCTCTCCAAGGTGGTGGCAAGGGTAACTCATGAGCCGCAGCACCCAATGCTGTAACCAACTCGTTTGGTGCTCCTGCCGTGTGAATGGCAACGGCTAGAAGTTCATCGAAAATCAGCTCAGAAAGGACGGGGGAAATATTAGAAATCCACCATTTGTAGTTTTCCATTGAAACCTCCATTTGTAGGGGATTTTCCAGCCAGCCATGTTTCATTACCAGAGGGTATGGGAAAATCCGAGAAAATATGCTGAACGTCTCCTCTGCCCCGCGCTGCCCAGCGGAAGCTGTTGAGAAACTCCGTGCGAGAACTGCGCAAAGGTGTGCCACCCACTGGTGCTCCGCGCACGCATGGAGCAGCGGACGAACCCGGCATCATGCACCAGCAAGTTGCTTCTCAACCTATGGTAGTGCAGCACATACCAATCCATAAGCTAGGTTCTGGGAAAGTTCTCTTCGCGTCCCGAGTCTAGTAGGTGTGCTTGGCTGAAATGCGTCATGAAGAAGCAGATGGTGTGCAACAGTTGTACTTAAATTGTCGACTCCTTGTCCGCAAACCACTGCTCAAAAGTCATGTTCCAAATGCAGGATGTATCTTGTATTTCCATGTGAAGTGTTTTGCTGTCAATTATACATGCCATGACTCCATCCACTTTGTGGAAGCTGAAGATAGCCACGAAGAGCAGGATGACAAAGCATGACTGGCTATGCCATGCTTGCAGCAGTCAGAACAGAGCCAGTTGGTAAACCAAAACCACGTTCAATAGCTAGATATTAAATAAGTTACATTCATTACATTACATCACATGACATGACATATTACCTTTCCTTTCCTTTCCTTACCTTACCCTACATTACATTACATTACATTTCATTACATTACATTACATACATACATACATACATACATATATACATACATACATTTCATTGTGTGTACATATATATATATGTATACCGTGTATATATATATATATGTGTATAGTCCCAATCAATCCTAATCTCTGAA